CGAACCAAGATTGATGGCTTCGCACATTGAGTGGATGCATGAACATTGGAAGCTAAGTGGCAAGTGATGGGGTTTGTGTGACAATTTGCACGGGTTGCAGATTGCTTTCTGAACAGCCAGCCACAGTTGAACAGTATAAATTGTCTTTTGAATTACCTATCTGTTTGAAGTGGAAATTATAGAAGTATTTAGACAAATAGAGGAATTTAATACAAATTCAGAAAGGATGGAAAAAAGAAAACAAGGCTATTATGTCGGTATAGTTTAGACTCGCAGAGAGCCAATAGTGTATGGGCTGGATGTCATGGAGTTCACGCGTATTGGAGATTCAGTGCAAATGCGGAGTTTGTTAAGAAGTCGTATTGATGCTTGCCGTCAACATACCATGAATATTTTTGAAGGAAAGTTAATCCATATCAGTGCGTACATAATGAACACGAAGATTGTTCAATCCTATTAGGAAAAATTGCCGGTATTGCTTTTATGGGCCAACTAGACTTTATTGGCAAACTGTACTTTACGACGATGAAGCATTTTTCAAAGAACAATCAAAAAGATTCCAACGAATAGACTATACTAAGTAAAAGCACGAAAAATGAGTTTAATCGTCACCGATTACCTATTCGGATGTTTGAAGACATCAGTTTCTTCTATCCCATGATGTTTTAAGCTCCAGAAGATACTTAAAAATGGTCTCCCTCCCCATTCTTACTATAACAGATATAAAATATCCTGAAAGTGATTAGTGAAAATTCTACAAAAGTCCTGAAACCGGATTTCAAAGTATAGCATTACAGATGCCTTCCTTTTATAATAATAATAATAATAATAATTTATTCTCAAATAACTAAGTTACAAGAGTCACGCCAGTTTACAGGCTAGATCAAATTGTCACAAATGCTTTTACAATTACTGTAAAAGTTATAGCAGTTAAAATAAGTATAAGAGTCAGTTTCTGATTGCATATTTACACCATGTCACTGACAGAAACAGTATTTTACAGCCTCATTTTCAATAGTAGAGTACAAATAAGGAAGGAAGGTACACAATAGGTTCTTTTGGCGATTTGCCGAGATCAATAGTGAATTTGTTGGGTAAGGTCATATGGAACGCGCTTGATACGAGCTGTGATCCAGACAGTCATGTACATAGGGTGCATGTTCCCTAGAGTCGCCAAGGATTTCCCACCGTGAATGGGGTTCTGAAAAGGAGAAGAGAGAGAGAGAAAAAGGCAGCAGTGTGGCAAGTGTATATATATAACCAAAGCACTACTTAACCTGTCATGTTGAAGTAGTCAATACAGTAGTAAGTCAAGATAAAATTCATACTGACCACTTAAATTAAAGTAAATTATGGGAATATAAGAATATAACACACAGATAAAGGAGTACAGCAAAAAGAATGGAGAGTTGTGCAGTGTCAGGTGGACAGAAGAGAAGTCGAAGTAAGAGGCTGAATTTATGTACGTTGAAATCGAAAGAGTAGAGTTTGTAAAAAGAAAACATTGATGAATAAAATTTCTCACTGTCTAACTGTTTATTATTATTATTATTATTATTATTATTATTATTATTATTATTGAATGCCAGCCTCTAAGTCATACTGTAAGCGCCTGAGTAAGAATGTTGCGGGTGTCTCGACAGAATAGCGACCTCAGCATAGTTTTGGAAACATGAACCACAGAAGTAGCAAGCGTATAAGAGCAACCTCAGTGTTACTGATTAGTTGTCTTATCAATCTAAAGAGCCGAAAGCAAACAAAATGTTCTGCCCCACAAACATGGGTTGTTTGAAGTTATCGCCCGCACCATCAATGTTTGCTGGTCAGTAACTCCACCTGTAATTGGATTTTCTACCGTAGCAGTTCAATTCGATTCCAATAGACGTATGTTCGACGCACACTCCGATTTTGAATATCAAAACACAATAATTCTAGGAGAAAATGGTCTATTTATAGAGAATAAATGGAAATACAAACGTTACCTAACAAATTTTACGCCTTCCAATTCAAAATTACTCTGAATGAGTATCGAGGTTCCGAAGACTAGGTGAACTCCTAAACCGCACGATATCAAATCCAAAAATGTGGCTGTAGCCATATTATATCAAATTTAAACAACATATATACAGTTCAGAAGCAAACATAAAAACTTCAATATAAGTACAAAATATAGAAATAATAACAATCTACAATGATAAAATCTCAAATTGGAATCAAATAAAATACCAAAATGTCAACAGAAAGAGTCCGTCATGTCATAACAAAAATATATAATCATAGAGGGATTTTCCTAAAAACAAAACATTCAAAAAAGATTCTACACCACCCTCCCTCCTTTTGTGTTGTTAGGCTCATGTTAAATGTTTAAAAGAAGCTATTGAGTTCTACTTGGTGTTCTATGTCTCACATCCTGTTGAGAAACACTATTTCTGCAAGTTCCTTTCACAAACTCGTCTGGCTGTTACAACTTATGAACTATTGGTTAGGCATCAATGCTATACAGTTAACAGTTATGGAGAAATAGTAAGAATTTTCAAACAAGATATAAGCATTTAGAATGTAGTAAGGAAGATGTACTTAACGAAGTAAGCAGGAGATTTAAAGATTATCGCGGTTAAAAGCGGAGCAATAGATAACACTAAGGGGCCAAGGTAAGTCAATAGCGTGTAAGTGAGAACAGTATAATTGATAATAGGCAATGTGAAACTCACACAGTTGTAAGTGTTGATAAGGTTGCGCCCAGGAGAGTAGAGTGCATTCTAATCAACCAGTTTACAGTTGAACAATGTCGATCGACCCAGTGAATAGAGTAACCTGTCTATTTCAAATAAAAACTAAAGAGATTTATATTCAACTAGAAAAATTATGATCTATAACGCGGACAGTCAAGTAAACAAAATTGTGCAACAGCTCGATAATTGTCACAATGTAATTACATTCGCATTAGATGCAAAGCTGAACTCCGCATTCCATTTTCTTGACGTTTTACTGAAACGATTACCAGTTAGGGCTCCTTGACAATCGATGTACAGAAATCCAGCCAGGAACGGTCAGTATACGGACTTCCCAATTTGGATAACGTTGATCACGAATTGAAACTTGGTTCGTTGTCTACCCTCAGCAACCAGAAGAATATAAACTGAAGACATTTTAGACGGTGCATTGGTCGTAGTAAGCGATCATAGAGAGTCAAACAACTAAGTGTAAACAGTCAGGTCAGATAGTTACGAGCCAGCCAAATGTTTATGAAGCATTAAAACATGGTATCTATTAATTTATATTTACCCTTGCAGTTCGCTCCAAACCCAAGAAGTGTAGGTCCATAGGCGTCCCACCCAGTCCAAATCCAAAAACGATAATTCTGGGAGAGAACGGTTCTGAATTTAATTAAAAACGGGAAATTCAGACAATTACCAAAAACGATATTACACCTTCGAGTTTCCAATTACCACAATGGGTTCCGTTGCTGGGAGAATAAGTGCTTCCAGTCCGTTACTGCTAGAGTATCAAATCCAAATGTGGCTGCAGCCTTTTTAAATATCTATTTTAAACAACATATGTATAGTTCAGAAGGAAACATAAAAACTTCAATATAAGTACAAGATATAGAAATAATAACAATATACAATGATAAAATCTTAAAATGGAATTAAAAAGAGTGGCAAAATATCGAACAGTAAGAGTTAGTCATATCATAACACAAATATATACACATGGAAGGATTTTCCAAAAACAAAGCCTTCAAAATAGATTCTACAGTATATAAAGCAAATATTTGCTTCCCGACGACCTTTCCCAGTAAATGTGTTCAAACCTTGCCTGTAAATCAGCATGTCTCATGTAACACATTATTATGGCAAAATAAATTATAATTATTGTTAATTTAATAGTTCCGAATTTGTGAGCCATTCTTTGAACACGCGAACTTGTATATTATTTACTTTTACTGCAATAGTAAGTCTTTAGTTGAGTGATGCCTACACTTATCATTATTTTTCTGCATGTTTTCGCGTTCGAATTACTGTCCTCCTATTTTTACTAGAATAATATTCTTGTTATATACAATGGAATTTCGCATACCCTACTAAACGAAAACCCTGGAAAATAAGTATGGTTTGTTACTTGTAGAAATGGACATCGTTATGACTATTAAGTCCTACCGTTCAGAATTTGATCTTGATGACTAGAAGTTGTAGTGTGCACAACTAGAACACTGTTCTCGGAACACGAGGGAATTTGATACCAAAGCTTATGCTATGTCCACTCCCTGTCATTTACTGAGAGAGTCTATGATCTAATTTTGAGTTTGATATCACAACGATTTTGAGCCATGTCATTCAAGGTCTCTAACCATCGATTATCACCTTGCGCACCCCAACCAGGTAGTCGACAATTACCAACATGGCTCAGTCCACTAGTCAATGACTTCATGGACTGCTGCCATGTTTTGGTTTGGCCGCCCCTAACTTGTTCCAACCTACTCCTACACTACAAAACAAGGCTCGACGAGGCAGTCGGTGGCTGGGCATACGTAACACATGTCCCAACCACCTCAACTGATGAAGTTTCAATACTTCATCTATTGATCTGCCATTCTTACCTAGCACCCGTTTCCTAATAACAGCGTTGCAACAAATAAGAACTGGTGAGAGGTCTTCCACCTGAAACACATGAAAAAGTTCTGAAATATTCTTTTTACTGGCATTTAACTTTTCCCCTTATTATTATTATCGACTTTGCGAATAACCGATCTCCAGCCTGGTGACCTGATACCTGCTGGTATCCAGAAACCCTACAGTGAAGAAACAGACGAACTCACTCAAATTACGGGACATACAAATTCATAAATATCCGCCAACTGAGTAGATTCAGCACGACCGAATGGCAGGGCTATCAGTAATCGAACACTATCAGATACACGTAAAAATACTGGAAGCATAAGAAGAGAGTGCAGAGAAGTCTATTGGTTTGTACTAGTTCGTGCAAAAGTAACCGGATTTATTGGATATTGAAGGTCATATAATGGCGCATACATTGAGATTTCTTGTCCTTCGACAGCTTCATTCAACGCCAACTCTTCAAGCTGGAGGGTTGTTTCGGGCCAGGTTTGTTCACTTTACATGATCCTTAAATTCAAAGACGTCGATTGCCTCCTGCTAACAATGAGTGGGGACCTTTAACCGACTTGCCTGATTATGTTGTAATAGGTTCGTTCCTGAACAGAATAACGTAATATTTAGGAAAGGCTAGCCCTCAATTCACAAGCGCTGGTCAAAGGAGGCGAGCTGTTCAGCAATACAAAACAGCTGTAAGCCACTGGTTTTTTGATGATACAACATTATCGTGTAGGACCAAATTGTCCGGTTGTTAGGCGAAATGAAGGAAACCCAGGAAAAGCACCTAAGAGATAAAGAATTTGAGGAGCGCAACAAAAAGATACTAAAGGAGCAATGCCTTCGAGAGAAAGGAAATAGCAGTGTATAAAGTACTTGCTAGCAAAATGTTTTGCTAAATGATACTTGATATGTGGGTATTTCTAAAGTACCGGTACATGTTATCTTCCTATTAAAACATTTTTAATAAATAGCTGTTCAGATATCTTCGCGTTTTAATGTTTTGGTCTATGATCGATTTTCAGTAGTCGGTTAACTTTATTTTCTATAAAATCTTTGCAACATACTTGCGTTAAATTACTCCAATATAGTGCAACTTTTCATGTGTAATTGGGAAAAACCCATACAAACTTTAAGGTTTCGAAAATGCTCACTTTAGTTTATCACGTTTATTATTTTGTCTCCATCAGTGATCTCCAGTCATAGTGGTAATTGGTTGATTGAACTATGTTAACATTACCTCAATAATACATCTCTAGTCTGTATTAATGCCGTAGTTCTTGTCGTTACATACCTCAGTGTTCAGCGACACAGTTGGAACCGGATAGTTATGTTCAGGAATAATTTCAAGACTAGTTGATACTCCTCACTAATCAAAAGAGTGGTCTCACTATGTTAGATGGTGAGAGTTCCTTGGATTCGTGTTTCGTACACGATGTGTACCAGCCCCTACACAATACACTTCAAGTCCAAATATATGAATTTGTTAGCATCACTACTCGTTTGTGTTATGATAATCGCCAGAAAGTATTCAACTTAACTTAATTCCCACGAGTACGTACTAGATAAAGAATGTAAGTACTAAATTCGACTTGGACCTACAAAACTTTCAAAAATGTTTGACTTATACCTATACTACACCAGTGGAAAGTGCACATTGGAGAACATGGTTGGGCTGGGTTAGTAGGTGAATAGTTTATTCTCCGATTACTACCTGTTTGTTGACAACAGTTCAAAGTACTAGTAGGTCTTCCATCCAGATATTTTTTTTAGCAACCTGTATTAACAGCATTATTTGCTTGAAACGAGTTCGTTACTTTAGTGAATTTGAATTTTGTAATGAGGTTTTTCAAACTACATGATGTCTTATTACAATACACCAAACAATATGATCGCCTATTTACTTGTTGAGTGAATTTATAGTTAAAAAGTAAAGGTTGGCCAGGATAATCAAAGGATAAAAGGAGAAAAATGTTAACCAAGAGGACAATCCAGGTCATCCCACTAAACACCATACTAGCATTACCATGGTAAATTTAGTCAGTTCAAATATTTTTGAACATCCGTATTTGTCTCAAACAACGATTGTATTGCAGTAAAGTAATACCTTTCAGTATCCAGTTGTATATAGTTTTGCTTCATTAAGGCATTTTATGTTACTGTTATGCATCATATCAAACTTTACAGTAAACGGGACTTATTTAGGTGTACATAAGGTTTAAGTTTTCTGTATGAAGAGCAAACTTGAGGAAACGAGGCTGGTTTCAGATATAAACGAGGCAGCATAGACCAAATATTCACACTTCGTCAGGTCCTGAAGCGTAGACACATTCAGACCTGCCACAATAGTAGTATTTCTTGACATTACGGTAGCATTTGACTACCGATCGTGAGGTTCCTTGTAAGTGTGTTATTGAACGGAGTACCAGAGAAGTACATTAACCTTATGTAGACTCTCTACGTGAACACTACTAGTCGAGTGAGAGCTTATGGCGAACTATCATCGGAAATTATTACCTCGATTGTTGTTCGTCACGGGTGTCCACTCTCTCCATTCTTGTTTGATTTTGTCATTGAAATGCTTTTAGAGACTACACTTTAATTGTCTGACTTTCCAGGAATCGACCTTTGACCGGAAGATTCACGTGTTGACTTAGAATATGCCGATGACATAATTCTATTCGGTGAAGACGTTGACAAAATGCAGTTTTCTGACCACCTTAAGTAATAAATCAAGCGTGTTCGGGATGCGATTTTCTCCCACGAAATGCGAGATATTGCTTCAGGTTTGGCTTACATCGGTACCTGAACTAGTGATAGGAAGTGAAGTAGTTGAGCGTGTCAACCGCTTCACTTATCTTGAGAGTCTTCTCTGTGCTGGTGACTAGCGAAATCTCAACACGGATACAGAAGGCTCGATTGGCTTCACTTATGGCGTAGGCGAGATCTCCATTTGGTAAAAAAAGGACGAGTTTATTACGCATTAGTTCACTTCGTCCTACTTTATGGGTGCGAGACATGACCAGTAAGAGTGGAAGATATTCGTAGGTTGCTGGTTCTCGATCATAGGTATCTCCGAAGCATTGCTCGTTTATCTTGGGACTATTAAATAAACAATTCTGTTGTTAGGAAACGAGTACTAGGTGAGGATGGCAAATCAATAGATGAAGTAGTGAAACTTCATCAATTGAGATGGTTAGGTCATGTGTTACGTCTGACCAACTACCGACTGCTTCATCGATCGGTGTTTTGTGGTGTAGGACTAGGCTGGAAGAAAGGTAGGGGTAGTCATACCAAAACATGGCGAAAATCACTGACAAGTGGACTGAGCCATGTTGGTTAGTGTAGACTACCTGGTAGGGGTCCGTGAGACAATAGTAACCGATGCTTAGAGACTGAATGAAATGGCTCAAAATCTTTTGCGATGCCGCAGGTGCAGTAACCTACGAATATCTACTCTTACTGGACATGTCTCGCGCCCACAAAGTAGGATGGAGCGAACTGATGTGCAGTAAAATCTCCTTTGGTTAGCAGTCAGCTATCCCGCCTACGCCATAATTGATGCAATTTGGCTTCCAGATGCACGAAGAGTAAATTGAACTAGTTCTTTATTCTAAGATGGTAAGGTCAAGTGAATGGTACTACTCGGATCCTGTCTGCGCGTTTCGGAAGCGAAGCATATATCGATGGCACGAGATGCTCACATCCTAGCTGAGGAAATCTGTTGTGCTTTTTGGCACAGGGTTTAACCACTGATAGCTCCAACATGCAGTTTAGAGCGTAGTTTCAGAATACCAGGAACAACCTTTCGTGTACTCAAATTGTCCGTGTCAGCTATGAGAAGGTTTGGTCATGGAGGTAATAGAGTTATTAGGAGGTGTATGAAGGATTTGACTGTGACCAATTTGGTCTCGTGTGCTGTTACATGAAAGCGGATATCACTTCCCGGCTTCCCACTCCGTGGAAGGGTGTTTCTTGAGGAACTTGTAAAGGAAGTTGGATTAGTATCAGCCTTAGTGACCGCAGGGCCCAAGAGACAACTGCTTGAGACCAGTCATACGCGGTCTTTATGACATGATTCAGAGGTGTGAGCTATGCTCTTCAAATGGCCTTACCTCTGAACATGCAAATCTGTGAATTAAGATAAGGTGCGATAATTTTATGGTCGACCTTTTCTAACCCTTTCTTCCTTGTGAAAAGGCAGCATCGCTGCAGATGCTGGTTGTCTGAGAGAAACACCTTACTGTTGTCACACCCCTGTACAGCCAGTAATACGACTTAGCCCTCAGACCTTGATTTGCTGCTTATAGTCTTACCATCCTGCCATCGACTTGCCTGGCGTGGTAGGACCTAAAGGAACATATATTTCAGCCAATATAGCTCAGTTGGGTCATCGCGATAGGCAAGCCCGACCACCACGTCAATGTAGTAGCTACGGTTGGGAGATTATCATTATATTGGATAGTCACAAATAATGTAATTAGGATATTTATTTCCTTCAAATTTTCCTAAGTCGGTAAGCATTTCTAGACTTTGACTATTATTAGGCCTACAGCTAAAAAGATATGTGCATCCTACTCTCTCTATTATTCAGCAATCATCTCTTTTAAGCACACTCATTGCTGTTCATTTTGAAAATCACTTGTGAATTAGAAACACCAATTCGTTGAATATGTGAATAAGGATTTGTGTTGTTCATACGTAAACTTAATATAAACTTATGAATTTTTCCGAACTCTTCCAGTATCACATCACAAACTTAGCTTTTTTTTAAATTTTCTTCCGTTTATACTTACATTTCATCTATTTCAGCATTTCATATTAAGTATTCCTCATCTTGTTATTTTGCTCAAATACAAACAACAATTGGTTATCAGTGTGGTTCTAACATGTGATGATGACATGTCCTACAGCGTATATGTCACGCCTGCACGTAAACACGTCAACTCGATATACTTGAACTATTACGAGTTTACCTGGTCGGAAAGGAGAACGGGGATCGAGGACCCGGCGACATGACGTGCTACTCAAATCCGATCATCCCAACCCCCATATTCAGTGAAAATAAGAAGATATGATATGAAGTAGAACCTGTATTCTACAAGCATCCAGAAGGTACGAGGTCCGAATCCAGAAGAGAATCAGGACTCCGGGCTAGGGATCCAGGACCGAGCCCTAGTCGTGGTCATAAAATGTTACAGATAATGCGTTTTTATACATTTTGGTCGAATAGGAAACAGCATCGAATTCTGTGACATTGACAATTAAGACGACCAATAGGAAGTAACATTTTTGGAATGACATTGCTAGTCCGGATGACCAATAAGAGACAACATTGATGTATTTGACTTTGACAGTTAAAACGACCATAATTTTAACCAATAGAAATGGACCAATAGGATTTGACCAATAATTCTCTTAGGATATTGGATGAATATCCTAACAGTATATCCTTACATTATCGGATAATCACTGGCTAAAGAAGGATTATGTGAAATGTTCAGTTTGAAACTTGACTTTATTTACCTTAGTATATATGACCATATGATATTATATATAGTCTGGGTATATAAGTAATTTTATTTTGATGTATATGTAAATAATTTCGAACCACGCCTTCCAGGGTGTGAGCAGTCGGCAAGTGACATCCACTCTCATACCCGTAACAACAAAAAAATCCTTCTCACAGAATATTCATCTTCAAAGAATTAAGTAACTCTTTTGTCAAAAACAAGCTTTTGATTTAATGGAAATTTAAGATTATATCAGAAGTGATGTCTAATTATTGAACACTAAAAACTGAGAAGCCAGTACAAATTTCATTCTTCTAATCTATGGAATTTCATACAATTCCAATTTTAAAACGAGATATGTTACAGTAAACAGAAAGCTTGATGCAATCTAATTTAGGGTTATTTAAACATATCAATCGTGAAATAAAGCATAAAATTATGAATGAGCGGTTGTTCTTTGTAGCTACTAAATTAACAGAGTGTTAATGAGGCGAGAAATGATCTGTTGATGTCGTTTAGTTGAAGTGATTCTATTTTAGTGGAATAGAATATTTTATACAAACTGATTGTTAGTTTTCTAATTTCATTTTTTAATTATTTTGTCATGCGAAGTTGTAATTACAATACCGAAGGTTCTGGGTTCGAATCCTGCGGGGTGCAGGAGTCGTGGATACGCACTGCTGAGGAGTCCCATACCAGGACGAAACGGCCGTCCAGTGCTTCCAGGTTTCTAATGGTGGTCTAACATTGATCGATTCATGGTTTCAGTTAAAACTTAACAATCTTCACAACAACCCCGTAATGCAAATTATGACATAGTAGTATCCCGAGAAAAATCAATGATTAAGGATCCCGGTTTGTGATTGTTATCTAGTGAATAAAAAAAGGGATTGACTGTCATATATCTTATTTGTTAAGAAACAGCATGTACTGTGTTTCATAGTTTGTGTTTAGCATAGTGACAAGTTAAATGATGAGTTATTGATCTAAGTATATGCTATTCAATCATTATCCTTACTGTAAGATCCATTTTGGAAGGCTTTGTTTGTGAAAATCCCTCCATATATACATTTGTAATTCGTCCTTATTGATTCCTTCAGTTGTACATTTTGTTAGTCTGTTCGAATCCATTTTGAGATGATAATATTTGTATTTTATTATAGTTTCTATTTCTTCTGCCTTCACTGAGTTTCTATGTTTCTTTCTAAATTGCATTTATGTTGTTTAGGCTGATACTTTGTCATGGCGACAGCCAAACTGATTTGTTCCTATTTGGCTGAATTGCTTGCATGGACTGGAATTGTGCATTTTGATTGTGAATTGAAGCACTCTTCCAGAATAAGAAGCACTCTGTGTTATAAAGCAACTAAATATTATCTGTCAAAAGAATCTGATCTATCCAGGAGGGAAAACATATCATTTATTTGAATAATTGAATAATTATTGGTGAAATAACTAAGTGGTAATATTGTTTATGTAATGATTTATATTTATATTGATGATGAATATTAGAACCGTTATTTACCCAAATCACTTGTTTTGGTTTCAACTGGGCAAGGCGCGTATCTAAACTACCTGGACAGTTATTCCTCAGTCCAAACCTCAGTTTGGATCCTACACTTACATATTCAAACATGATTTCACTCCAATTTTTCTAGCCAGTTAACAGTGCTGCAGTGGATACTACTAATGAAGTGGCATATAATCGTATGCAGTAGCGCATCACCTAGAAGTTACCACAAAAGAGGAGTGCGTGGCGTGATCAGAGCGTATTGAAGACCAGAAGAGATGTGAGAGAAGACAGTCAATAAACTTGCTTATATTACAGATAAATGTCTGAAGATTATATGTACATATTTTGTAAATAAACTGTGTCTTCTTATACAGTTATTCCATCGTATATCAAATTCCTCGTACGTTACAATACATATCCTGACAGTTTGATTTAGAGTCATGTACAGTATTGTGAACTTGTTTATATATGACAATAACGCTATTAATGCAAGATAAAACTTCTACGTTTATATTTAGGAAGCGAAAATGGGGTCACTTTTGTCTCATAGAGCATTTCCGTTGATCTACATTCAGTATTGTTTTGTTTAATTTTGATCGATAATATTTTGGTTACAATCTATTGTTCATAAGTATATCAAAGCACTATGTGAATGAATATCATAGTTATATGAAATAAACTTGAAAGAGCTCAAAGTCTGTCAAATACTCCTCATACTTTTGAAAACCATGTTAGTCCATAATGTGAAAAGAAGAAGACTAACCAGCTACTCTTGATATTTATATTTATCAATAAAAGTGATATTTCACTTAAATCCTTTATTCATAGAAAGCCCAAATAAACAGAGCGATATCATACTATTTTAGAGTTGTTGCTCAGTCTATTACAAATGAGGTTTTTAATGCTTGAACCGTTAATGAAAAATGCGTATCGCTAAGTTTCATAATTCAATGTAAATCTCTGTAGAGTGCTGAAACCTAACACAGTTTCGGTACATATCTTTATCACCTTACAATTCAGAAATGATTCACACAATCGTAAATTAAAGCGAAGACTTAAATTAGCAATCTATATGAATTTTTACACAATCTAAACCATCATTATAAAATAATCAAGGTTCGTATTTCATCAAAAACTCAAATGAGTATGTGTTTATCAATTTATATACATACATGTACATAGATGCATAGAGGAGCAATCATAATCGGGATGTAAAGTTGGTTGAACATATACCTAAATATTCACACAAACAAAAAAGTCTCAATGGTCTAATAAGAGAACATTGTTAGGATATTCAACAAATATCCTAAGAGTACTATTTTTGGAAGTATAATCCTATTGGTCAAAAATATGGTCGTTTTAACTGTCAGAGTCAAAATTACTTTAATGTTGTCTCTTATTGGTCATCCGGACTGTCAATGGCATTTCAAATGTTCTTTCCTATTGGTCGTCCTAAACTGTCAATGCCACAGACTTCGATGCTCTTTCCTATTCGACCTAAATGTATGAATAAGCACTATATGTAAGACTTCATGATTTCGTTCCTTCCTGCCTACCTCTCTTCTGTACTCGACCCAATAAACAACTCCATCCAACGGTGTTGCGTTCTGGTATATAGAAGATTTGGGTCGTATTTGAATTCGGACGTCGGTAGGATTTGAATAGCTACGTAGCAGCTCTATAACAAACATTATATACAGAAGCCTTCCTCTACTTCTAAATGTTAATTAAAACTAGCTACGGGAATATATATGTGAGATCGTCCTTTGTGATATTATATAGAAGTGTCCAAGGGTAAATGCTAAAGTTTATTGAAGGCTTAAACATACGAAGATTTTCACCAGCTCTTTGTGTTCAAAACCACTTCGTTTTTGCTCTGAACATGCCCTGGTTATACTGACCCATTCTGTTTTTTCTTTTATTCTAGCTGATCTGTTTAGAAACCTGAAGGCGATTGGTTCGGTCTCCAGCGGAATCGTTGGTGCGTATTGTCGAGGAATTCCGTAACAGAGTGAAGCAGGTTTCAAGTGCTTGCTGGCTATCAGTGATTATTTAAATAAGATCATCTAGTGATGTGAAATATGATAACAGATAAATATTTTAATATGTGATCAAACTGTTCAAAACGCATTTCATTAATGTATTGCGTGATTTGATATATTCATTTTCCTATTGTGTTATTTAGAATTTGCATTACGGGGTTGTGAAGATTGTTAAGTTACACATTTTTGAAACCATGAATCGATCAATGTTAGACCACCATTAGAAACCTGGAAGCACTGGACGGCCGTTTCGTCCTGGTATGGGACTCCTCAGCAGTGCGTATCCACGACTCCTGCACCCCGCAGGATTCGAACCCAGGACCTTCGGTATTGTAGGCGAACGCCTAACTAATAATCGGACTAATTGCTTTAAAACAGAAAGTATAATTATGATCAGAGAGAGATAGAGGCTAGTAGTATAATTCAGCACTCGCGTTTCGTCCTGTTTGGGACTTGTCAACTGGAGATGTGTCTGCATCTCAGAGTTGGTGTGTAGTATGAAATTTAGATGTTTCATTCTTCTTGTTTACACTATAGTTTATATTTGTTCGTGAAAATCTTTACATAAAATTAAGGGAATCATCTTAAATGAACTCCCATTTTTCACGATACTCACCGTGTAATATATAATCTTTTGACTTTATCTATCATACTCTTTCAATATTTTCCTCATTCATAAACTTAAAATGAAAGGAAGTTGTCTGTTTAAAATGAAGTTGTACTCAAAAGGCTATCATGTGTATGTAACACATGTATTGTTATGGAAAGACAATAATTTGACCATATCTTTTCCTCACTATGAGATTAATTGTTCAATAATAATAGTTGTAGTCATAGTAGTGAATAAGAACGGTCGATAAGTTCACGTGATTCTGATTGGCTGTAAATCAGTTGACCAATCAAATTTAAACAGTTCGTTTTATGTTCTCTTGCCTCTCCTTTTTCAATTCTATTCAAATATAAGTTATCTAGAAATAATTTAGAAAAATAAAATTTGCTTTTAGAGTGAGAAAATCTACAAAATGAAATTAATTTTATCCGCTTTTCTACTATTATTTGCATTAATAAGTCGATTAGTTGTTATACATAATGGAAAAATTGGCGAGAAAGAAGTAGTTGTTTCAATACCTGTAAATGAATGCTATCGTCATGTGACAGATCCTTATACTTATCCTCGTGTAAGTTGTGTTTATCCACTTTGATAATATTGATTTTATTCTGAATTATTGTATATAAATTGTATTAATTTTGAAATGCATTTTTCCCGTAAACTGGTGTACACTAACTGAAGCGACAATAAAATCTATAAAGTACTGTAAAACTAACTGTTCAATTCGATTTTATGTCATGTTAAAGGTCCTCACTCATCATGACAGTTAGTCAGTCAGCTTAGAGTGTAGTATGAACATGCGTCGACCCAAGTCTCTAGACCACTTTATCTCAGCTAAATGATACTAACAAGATGATTAGTAAAGGAGTTGAAATAATGTAGTAACATTGATGATGAGAGCTGTTTAGCATTGAGAATATGACTTATAAAATCAAAGAGGAAAGGTCTGTACGGAAAGAGTACTGAAATTCAAGATCTAGAGTAAGGTAAGTAGTATTGTAGTGAACGAGAACACAGGTGGGGCAACCGAATTGTATTTAACGAAAATTACATAGTTATTCAGTAAAATCGGAGAGCCATATCATAAATTGTTCATTTGCAAAATATCAGTCCATCATATCGAACTGGACTGTTCCTGTTGCAAAACATCAATCCATTGTCACTATTCATGCGTTTCATACAAATTCCATTGTGTTCTAACTCTTCCTTTCTTGGTCTTCCCCCATCTTCTGCTACCAGACATTACGTTGACATTCGCGTTATATACTACTTATAAGTAGGTCACACCACAGTATATACATTTCCATTATTATAGCTGATCTTGGGACTTTTCTGCCAGCTCCCTCAAGCACTCATAGCGTTGGACCTCCCTCAGGTAGTCTTTATCAACTCGTTTGACTCAGACTATCAGTTAGTGACTGTATGAACTAATAATGAATTGAATCTAAGACATTTATTTCTTGTGATAAAATCTTTATGAAACTACTCAAATCTGGGGAATAGTTAGTTCGTTATCATTTGAACAATAATTTAGTTGTATAGATTCTCTTTTAAATCAAACGTCATATTAAATAACATTGATATTCAACCAGATCTATTATTGAACATGGAATTCAAATAAGTCAGGATTACAGTGCTTATTCGTTGATAATATTAAATGAAATGTTGTCACATTGCTTACTTATCAAATTGTAAAAGGTAGAAGACCATTAGGGATCAACTCAGTAGGCTAATGATATCATGTTGTCCTGAACCGATAAAATCAGGCTGAAATCATACCTTGAGTTACTTACTTACGCCTGTTACCTCCAATGAAACATAGGCTGCTGACTAGCATTCTAAAACATACTCTGTCCCGGCCCTTCTTTTCCAGTTATATCCAAGTACC